ACTTCATCTACCTTGTCTAATTTAATGTCTAGACAAATATGCACAATAGGTAATGCGACTGAAGTGAGGCTCAGAGAAGTTAAGTCACTTGTCCGGGGTCACACAGCTAGGAGGTGATAGAACTGCTTTCAAACCCAGGCCATCTGATGCCATAGCCTGTTCAGGGAGCTGCAGCAGCAGCCAGTGCTACTGAAAAGAAGCAGAGTGGGAGTGCCTCTCCCCATGTGTCCTGGGAGTCAGGGGGTGGCAGCAGTGACAAGGCTGACTGGAATAGGATGTTTCCTAGAGAAGATGAGTTTGAAGTGAGGATGAATAGAAGTTAGCAAAATAGTATTGTAATAATTTCATTATACAGATGAATTTGGCATAAAATGATATCTTTGGCCAATTTAAATTGTAGTTGCTTGGAAATAGTCAATTTACCTGCTGTGAGTATAATTTAAAATCAGCACCTCTGTCCTACTGTTCACACAGCTTTCTGTGAGCGTTCTGGAATTTTCCCATAAGATGTCCTCGCATACCATCCCCTCGTGTTGTTAGTTTTTTTAGCACAGGAATGCTTGTGCAGACCCTCCAGTGTTTATAAAAAGTGTATACAAGAAAGCATAACATTGGGGGACATTCTTTTTGCTTAATTTCATCCGTAAATAAAATGCTCACCCCATGCTTCTTCTACAAGTACTGAGCCAATTGCTGACGATGATTAAGACACCAACCCCAGCTCTGGCTCCCTGAGCCCTGACTGTGCCAGGCGCTGACCTCATTATCTCTTCACAACATGGGGTGCAATTAGGAGCCCCACTCTCCAGAGTGAAGAATAAAGCCCAGGAAGTCCCTTCTCTGTGGCCACACGTCAACAGAGGCAGCGCTTGTCCTGGGATCTGTGTCTTCTCTCTCTGTATAGCAATTCATCCCTGCCCCTCAGCTCCCCATTTCTCTTTCCCCCAATATCCCACACTATGGAGAGTTCTTCACCCTTGGTGTCTCTTACAGACATACAAGCAGGTAAGTCATACCATTAGATCTCCTATGCCAAGAGCTGGCAAACATCTTCCATCAAGAACCAGATAGTAGGCTCGGCGCCTGTGGCTCAAGCGGCTAAGGCGCCAGCCACATACACCTAAGGTGGCGGGTTCAAATCCCCAGCCTG